TATATATATATATATATATATATCATCCTACTAGTGTGAATTTGTCTAATTTTAATAAAGCCAAAAGTGGTTTGTAAATTGCAAGAAAAAGAAAAAGGTTTTTGGAGGCAAAAAGTAGCCTCTGTATTTCTATTGGAGGGTGATAAGAACACTAATCTTTTACATACTATTGCCAATAAAAAAAGGGTTATGAATCACATTCACAAAATTACTACTCCTTATGGTATTTCTTTTTCTAGTGATGATTTGATTGGTTCCTCAGGGGTTAAGTATTTCAAATGCATTTTAAATAATAATGTTATGCCTAATCCCATCACTAATCATCGTATTATTCCTGAATTAATTAATGATGATGATAACAACTTTCTTGTTTAGTGCCCTTTTGAAAAAGAGATCTTGGATACTATTAGAGTTATGAATTCTGATTTTATTGTTGGTCCTGATGGTTTCACTACCAAGTTCATTCATAAAGCTTATGTAATTATCAAAATGGATGTGATTGATGCGGTAAAAGATTTTTTTAATGGGTCCCCTTATCCTAACTTTTTCTCTTCTTCTAGCATTATTTTAATTCCTATATGAGAACTGTGGCACTTGAAGCGTGAAGCAAGAGATAAGGCAATCTTGGTGATTTTGATGGAACCTTGGCGATCAGTGGTTCTCCGTTGGCCTGGTATGGCCGACGGAGGTCCTTGGTGGGATTTTGGTAGAGAAGCTATCCATATGAAGTCGATTTTGATGGAGTTGTCGATTCTCCATCGGATTGATTTGGCGAATGGATGTGCATGATGTTTTTATTCTTCTGATGTTAGATTCTTGATTGATTTTGGTAAGATTACATATATGAAGTTGATTTTGGATGAGGTTTTTCGTTTGCTCGACGTTTCCTTTAGTATTTCTTGGAATGAATTTTCTGCTAGGGAGGCGATTTTTCCATTGATCCTGATGGAGAAATGTTTGGCAGAAGTATGCTTGTGGTTTGGAAGTTCTACTGGAGTTCCACTTCTAATTTTTTGTGGAAATTGCTGCTTGATTTTGTTTGGATTTTATGAATGTCTTGAGTTGGTGCTTGGAGATGAATTTTTTTCTAGTTTGTCGTTTGAAACTAAGAGGTTCTTGAAGTGGAATCGTTTGTTGTTCAAGAAAATTTGGAATGAAACTCTTTAATTAAAAATGGGATGCAGGAATTTGCTTGTTGGGTGTCTTATTTGGTCCAGTTTGGTGACTTATGGAGCAGTTTTTTTATTTCTTCAAGATTCTTGGAAAAACAGCTGATGTGATTTTGGTCGATTTTGTTACCACTTGGGGTATTTGGGTTTATTTTGATTCATAATTGCTTGGAAGCTTTGATATCAATGATAGCAGTGAAGATAATTTTCCTCCTAGTATTATCAGATTTGGTTTGATAATTAATTTTCTTGGTTTTTGATCTCTTGATGTTCAAGAAATGGTTGTGGTATGGTTGTTTAGATTGTAGAGGTGGTACTGAAGAACTGGAGTCAGGTATCCTGAATATTCTTGGTGATAAGGTTGCTTCTTTTGCAACTGGTAATGCAGTTATTTTCATGGCTTTGAGTGGATCTTCCAAGGGAGATAGTTCAGAAAAATGTTATGGTGAAGCCGGAGTTATTGAAGCAATTGTCCTATTATTGTTTGGTTTGTACATGGAAGGTTGCTTGGATCATCATAGACGTATTGGAGCTAGCTTTAAGTGGGAGCTTATCCCATCAAGGCTTAAGATGATTACCTCTTTGTTCTTTGAAGAACAAGTCTTATTTGTTGAAGACTTGAAGGAATTGAATATTACTGGTTTCTCTCTTGCCAGCGTGATGTGTGTGGTGGTAATTATCAATACGTATGGCTTTGGTAATGTTGAGGCCGATTATTGGTCTCTTGATGTGGGAGTCGGTGTTATTGCTTCATCGACTTTATTTTGTTCATCCATGGTGATTGGTGTTGGATGCATTGAGGTTTCAGCGGATTCAACTCTTGATTAGAGCTCATTGGCCTTTAAGGATGTTGATGGCTGTCCTTTTGATGTTTTGGCGGCTTTTTTAGTTGTTTCTTTTCTTATAGTAGTTTGTCGTTTTTTTTTTTTTTTCTTGTAGGTTTTTTTTATCTTTTTGAAATTATTGTAATGAAATGTGGGATTTTTACTATGTTTCAATTTTTATCTTTTGGGAACTCTGGGATAATATCCAACCTTTTAGGTTGTTTTAAAATTTGGTGTCCTTATCACCCCAATAGATTTAAAATGGAACTTAGTGGATCAAATATCCATTATGATAGTTTTATAGGGTTTTTTTTCTAGTTTGTAATAGTGTTTTTTTCTTTTTAATGCAATTTGCATTTCTTCAAAAAAAAAAAAAAAACACTCCAAAAGCATTTTTAGTGATTTGAAAATTTTCTTCTCCATTTCATCAGACATGACAAGACTTATAATCACTAACTAAATTAAGATTAAACAAAATTTATTCTAAGCTATGCTAATTACCTAAATCCTATAATGGTGGGTGTTACAATATATTATACATACCAAGTTTGAGGATGTTAAAGTCTTGGGAGCTTCCTTCCTTTGATGTTGCTCTCACACACACAAAAAAACCTCCAAATTTGCCATCCAAAGTCTTTAACTTTAGCAAATAGTGAAAAGGCTAACTTATATAACTTTCCTAAGGCTTTATAAGAGAAATTTTTCATGCACAATTAGTAATCTAAAGCATACATATAGGAAACAACTTGAGAATACCAAATGTGTATAATTTCGTTTAGACATTCACCTGCTTGGCTACACTCATAAAGGTACACTTCTTTCATGATTTTAATATAAAGTATCTAACTTTTGGAAAAGACTAAAGAAGTAGGCAAGAGCAAAGCTATAGTGGAGGCCTTGAGAGCATAAGCACCCACTAGCCTAGTTGCCCAAATTTTAACAATGAAATACAAAGTGAATTTTAAATTAACAAAAATTTTACTCTACATTTATTTTTCATTTAACCATACATCAAAATCTCTAAAACCCTTTGCATTTAGAATATTTTATATTTAACTTTTTATCAAACCAAATAACCCTTGTATAATAGAAAACTTGATATGACTAGCATAATGCATGAGATAATATGAATTGTGATTACTTTTGCCTTTTAAAAACTATATAAGATTCTTCAAATTTTCTCTAGTGTCAACCTCTCTGATCAATAATCTACTAGTAGTCATTAGAAGGGCAACTAATATGTAAACATATTAATTTCCCATCAGAAGTCTTTATACACATCTAATGTGTCATTCATATACTTAAGATCAACCCATTTTAAGTAATATATTCCTTTGTTGTCTATGGGATAAAAAATTCCTATTCATCTTTATATTAATGCAGTTTTATGTAATAGCTCAAACTCTTAACTATCGAGATATTGTGTGCTTTGGTCTATGGGCCTCACAGTTTTTATGCTGTTGGTGTAACTTTCTAGGAAGTCACCCATCCTAAGATTTCTTCGAGATGAGCATGCTTAACTGCAGAGTTTTTAAATAAAATTTTGACCATTACACCAAAAGGTGCCTCAACATTTAAGATTTTAACTTTTTTTTACTTAAAGGGATTTCATAATCTCCCCCATTTAAGCAACTGACATCTTCGTCAGTATCTTTATCCTAGAATCATCCATCATGCATATAGAATTCTAGAGGTGACCCCTACATGTTCAAGTGGTGACTCCCACCATGTAGCATTTTTTCCCATATAGGATTTGAGAGATGGCTCCCATGGCGTAGCACTTTGTCTTATATGACACTTAGTTCCTATCTTCCGATTGGTTTATTGCCTTGATACAATTTGTAATATCTCAAACTCTTAACTATCAGGATATTATGTCTTTGGCAAAAGGGGCCTCATGATTTTATCATGTTGGTGTTACTTTCTAAAAGGTCACCAATCCTAAGATTTATTCAGTATGAGCACAATTAATTGCAGAGTTTCTTGATAAAATTCTGATGATTACACCAAAAGACACCTCAATATTTAAGAGTTTTATTTCTTTTTCCTTAAGGGTTTCACATTTTGATATTAACTTTTAAAATATAGGCTTGATTTTACTATTACACTACATATACTTCACCCTTTTAAAAGGTGTCAAGAACTTTGATAAACAACTCAATATTTCATATTCGTACAATCCTTTATGATTAATTAATCATGAGAGAGGGATAATTAATCATAGGGAGGTTAAACATCATTGGTTAGGGGCAATGTTGGGGGAATGAGAATGTCAATATGCTAATGATGTCATTAGGGAAACAATAATGAACTCAATTATTATCATATAATTTTGTCACTCCTAATTTTCATGATTTTTTTTTACTTAGCAACAAGGGTAGTTAACAGACCTAATTGAAGGATTCTTACCAATAATTATAAGTTATGTTGCCCAAGAGGACTATATAGATCTATGGAGAAGCATGCTAAAGTAGTCAATTTTATGGTAGATTTTAATAATCAAAGGGCTTTATGTCATCTTGAACTTACATTATGATTCACAACTCAATGAACTTAGGATTTTCCTACGGCGACTACAATTATTATAAATCTAAGGTTTATGTTGTAAGGGTTATATAATCGTGTCATCATAATCAAACTAATCACTCAATTATGGAGTAGATGCAATGTCCTTATTAGCATTGCATTTTTTTGTTAGTGTGGTCATACGAATATAAATGATGTACCATTAAGTATTTTGAGTTTTGATCAAATATAAATTTGCCACCCTCATTATGGAAGATAGACCAATAATAACTTCGGAGCACAAAATGATTGATTATTAATTGAGCTTTTAGGTGACAATTTATATATATATATATAAGTTTATCATAAATACCTCATCAAAATTTTATTAAAATGGGTTATAATTTAAGTGCAACGGCGCACCGCACCTCGAATAGACCGAGACGTTCTTCCTCCGTAGGATTCTCGGAAATTCATTCGCCGGAGGCCCGGAACAATGAAGTTCAAAGATTCGCCGGTCATAGAGCTCACCGTCGGTGGCACAAACCTTTCGTTTGAGCAGGATAACGGCTCTTTTCACGTCGGCACGTCCGTCTGGCCCTGCTCCCTCGTCCTCGCTAAGTTCGTCGAACGCTGGCTGATACCTTCCTCTTCCGCAGCCACCGCCACCGCCACCAATCCCTACGCCCACCTTCTGTGCTTTTCCGGCAAGCGCGCCATCGAACTCGGCGCTGGTTGCGGTCCCGCTGGCATCTCCCTCACTGTCCTCGGTCTCGACATTATTCTGACGGACATCGCCCCAGTCATGCCTGCCCTTCGCCGCAACCTCAAGCGCAATCGATCAGTCCTCCCCAAAGCCCCCAAACACGCCCAACTGTACTGGAACAACGCTGACCAGATCCGATCCCTCAATCCGCCCTTTGACCTGGTCATTGCTGCAGATGTCGTCTACATGGAGGACTCGGCGGTGCAGCTCGTGTCCGCCATGGACGCTCTCGTTGCGCCCAACGGATTGGTTTTGTTGGGCTACCAACTGAGATCACCGGAGGCGCACCGGGTATTCTGGGATCGGTGTTCGGAGGTTTTTCCGGTGATTGAGAAGGTTCCTCACGAGGATCTTCACCCGGATTACGCGTATGAGGAGGCGGATGTGTATATCTTCAGGAAGTGCAAGTGAAATTATTCGTGGCTTTGGAGAAATTTGGCGCAGTAACTTCATTCCCTTTTCTTAGGTTTGTACTCAACGAGTTTTAAAGTTTTTCTTCACTTCGTAAGCTATATGCTGGATGTTCTCTTTTTTTACACAGCCTTGCCAAGATCATGTTAAATTTCCAATTTTGCGACATACCAGAAGATTAGTTTTGGCACCCTTCATTGGTGCTTAGTTTTAGTTGTGATTTTTTGCCTTTCAAAGGGAAAAGCCTACTTCATTGCATAATGATCTATCGTTATGACACTTCTGAGATTTTTTTAAAAAAAAAAAACAACTTATCTGAATTCATCCATGAAAGAATGATAGTAGATTCTTTTGTTTTGAGAGATCATTATAAACGCAAAATACTCTTTTTTCCCTTTTGGTCTTTCTTCCTGCTGTTCTCTAACAACTTATTCCTTTCCTCCCTAATTAAGCTGTTGTCAGTGGTACATGAGTTGGCTCCATACACGCCAATGAGATAACAACAGTGAAGTTCAGCATAGCTCACCAAGCATTAGGCCAGCTTTGATTGAGTGAAGGAGGCTTTGCAAATTGTCATCTTTGAGCTCAAAACCCAATGAGCTTCTTCGAACCTACATTAAGGATACTTCGATGTCAAGCCTTTTAGCCTGGGGGACTCATCCCACTCAATACCCGGATAACATTCGAGATTTAGTTCTAAACAACCTTGTCAACACCTCAAGTTGCCCTTTCCAAACTAAAAGGCAAAGATTTACAAAGATAAGCAATATAAATTGAAGAATGTTTTACCAGATCAATAAGTGCCACTTGCAGTCTTCTACTTGGTAAGCAATAGTTAAGTTCGTCCTTCACTTCTTTGACCCCACTAAGTATAAGAAGCCCTTGAAGATTTTTACCCATCAGAGACAAAACTCCATAGTTGCAACATATCAGGAGGCCTTCAAGAAATTATCCCACCAAGTGAACTGGCTACCTAATATTTCCTTATTGGGAGTTAAATTGCCGTCCTCTAAACAATATCCACCCATATGTGATGGTGAAGCAGTTAGGCACTTTAACAGATGCAATTAGTGTTGTGTGGTTGATTGAAGAACAAAACTAGCTGCATCAGTAAGTTGTCTCACCCAAGGTTATTCCTAACTCCATTGTTGGCGTATACCTCATCCGACATAGTGGCAAAATCCCACCACCTTTCGTTGCATTATCAATCAAGAGGCACAAGAGTGACAGGCATAAGGGGTGTGCTGCTATTTTGATGAAACTTATGTTCTGGGCCATAGATGTAAGCCACCTCAATTAGTTATGATTGAAGATGCTTTGCTTATTTCCCTCAAATAAAACCCAACTGAACAACTAGATCTTGTGGTCTAGGTTCCCCTTCCAAAAAACCTTTTTCCATTAAATTGTGAGAATTAACCTTATAATCATGGGGGACAAATTGATGCTGACAAACAAGGATGTCATCTTAAATAATATCATAGTCAAAGATAAATACAATACCAGTCATCGACAACCTTTTGCACAAGATACACAATTGAATTCTTTTCTAAATTGGACCTATGAGCAGGCTTTTTTCATTAGGGCTGCAAATGAACCGAATGTTCAACAAGCTACTCATGACTCGGCTGGATTACAACTCGTTCAGGGGTGTTTGTTAAGCAATCAAATAAGTTTGAACAACTTTTGAAATACTTGGCTGTTAATAAAAAAACATGAACATCTATGTGTCTGTCTCATTTATATTCATAACAATATCAATAAAATCTTGTGAACAAGCTCGATAAGAAGCTTGTGGCTTGATCAAATCTTTATTTTGTATATTTTCGCATGATTTTTAGTTTTATTAAAATAAATTATTCTTACTATATAAAAAATTAATTACATTTATTATGTTGCCCTATTTCAATATGGTGAATTTGTTCATAAACAAGAGGTATTTATTCATGTTTGTAGTATTTTTTGTTTGAAGTATTCACGAGCAAATTTGTTTATAAGAAAAATCATTTATAAGCTTGTTTGTTCATGAATGAACTCATTTGGTAGATTAAAAATGCTCTCTATATATGTTCGCGAACAAGCTCTAAGCGATTGTTTGTTGGTAGGCTCGATAAGGCTCATTTGTTTAAAGCTCTATAAGCATAAACAAATCGAACATGAACCAAACACAATTCGAACATGAACCAAGCACAATCTAAGCATGAACATCTATTTTTTTTAAATGAACCAAGTCTGAACACAAACAAAAAAGCTCGCATCGAGCTCAAACCAAGCTTAATCAAGCTAATAATAAATTGGCTCAAACATGAACAAACACATACTCAGCTCAACTTGGTTCCTTTGTAGCCCTTATCGCCATATTCAATTGGGAGAAGAAGATGTCCCAAAGACAATATTTCGAACACATTGTGGGCTCCTAAAATTTGCGCCTCGGATTCCCCTCTTTCGGAGGAGTTTAAACGATTTAAGTTTCAGGATAAATATTCAGAAGACAGATTGGATTTGAAATAAGTTACTACCCAGAGATTTTGCCCTCATTTTGCGAGGACTTTATGATTTGAGTTTTGGTTTCCTTTAGGCACAAGCCCCTATAATTAATTATCCCTCCCGATCATGAGAGATAGCCCGTCGTAAGTGCATCTATATTTGTTGGAGATTTTCAGTGTTTGTTCGAGACTGTTATATGTATTTGCAAGTTAGCTGACAACGATTGTAGGGAGATTGTAGCACTACAAGTTCATTGCTCGTATTGTCAACACATTCTTCAGAAGTTTTCTTGTTAGTCAACACATTCATTAGGAGTCTCCTCCAACATGAACATTGCAGGCTTTCCATCGTTCATGTTTAAGTTAAGGGTTTTGCAACATCACTTGCAATCAAGTTACATATTCATGTTAATTATTGCTTGTGGATGAGATGTAAGAATTTACCCCTAGCTCACCACAAATCATTGCTTGTTCACTTATATCCACTTGAATGATTACGATCGTTTATTGAGCATTTAGACTTTGATTGTTTATTTGTTAAACCAAAGTTTGGTTCAATGTGTTCCATTCAAGTTCAAGTCCCTTGTGGTTCATTTAAAATCAAGTCCATTGTTACTTGCTTCAATTTTGGGTCCCTTACCATTATTCATTTGAGTTCAGATCAAGTTTCATGTTGTTCATTTTTATTCAGATCACATCCCCTGTTATTTATTTATGTTATGTACATTTCAGTCCAAATTTCGGCAGCCTCCTAGCCTCTTTTTCGTTTAGGGGAATTTTTAGAAAGACGTGTACGGTCGGTATCAGGTGACACTGCAGCTGTAGTCTTCAATCCTATCATGCCAAGAAGGGCATGCATAGGTCTTCAATGGTATCTGTTTAAAACGCAGTTTTTTTCCGTAGGCACTGAGGCACACACGGGTTCTTAGATTTTACCTTTTCATGTTAAGAAAAGCTGGTCAAAGATTATACATTTCGTCGTAAGCATCGCACCGAGTTCCCTTCTAGTACGTTAAGAAAAGCGTGCATGGGGTTCCCCCTGCGCCCTGCAAATGCTGAGAATGCAATTCAATTCTTGAAAATGCAAATAAGTTTTTAGAAGCTAAATTAACTGCTTTCAAAGAAAATAAAAAATCACCCACAATGCTTGAGTTTCAAAATCAATCAAATCAGCATGCATCATTCAAACCTAGGAAGAGGCACTATAACTTGAATAGATTAATAAACATTTTTCCTAGTGTTAGATATTTTTTTGTGGTATGGTAGGATATATCTCTCATATATGCACCATTCATTGTAGAACGCATTTAGTGTGGAGACCTAAAGTTTAAAATTCACAATATAGCATACATGCATTTCATTCTTCTTTCCATAAGATGGGACCCAAACGTATTTGGGTTCTTAAATCTAACATCTAATAATTTTGTAAGGTTACTCAAGGCCTCGTGAGAGCATGTGATACTTGAACAGCGAATGTTCAAGGCATATGATTGGAGATGCAAATCAATTCATTTCGTTGGAGGTTAAGGCTTGAGGCAAGGTAACACTTAATGATAACGCCATCAGGAGAGTTGTGGGGTCATGTATAATTAGAAACTCTAAAAATTCATTATTGAAAATATTTTACTAGTTTATGGCTTAAAAAATAACTTGTTTAGCATCAATCAACTCTGTGATAAAGACTTCAGCATAAATTTTTTGTCTGCCAACTGCATAATAAGCTTGAATAACAATATTATTTTGCAAGGAAAAAGTTCAACAATGTCTACATATTTGATTTAAATTTTGCTTAAAAATAGTTACTGATGAATTCATGTTGTGGCATATGAGATTATGTCATGCTAGCATGAAAAGCCTTAGAAGGGTCACCCAAAAAAACTTAGTGAGAGTGATACCCAAAAAGACTTAGTGAGAGTGATACCCAAACTAGAGTTCACTAATGATCACCTGTGTGATGTCTATCAGTTAGGAAAGCAAGTCAAATCTTCCTTTTCCTCAATTAAAGACATTTCCACTATCAAAACTTAGAAGTCCTTCACATGGATCTCTTTAGACCTATCAACACTACAAGCTTAGGCGGGAAAGTCTTTGTGTATGTGATTGTCGATGATTATTTGAGGTTTACTTGAGTTAGATTCCTATCTCATAAATTTGAATCATTTGAGGAGTTTAAGTCTTTTTTCACTTGGATTCAGAAGAAGCTAGGTTGTGAAATCATGAAAATTCATAGTGATCATGGTGGAGAATTTGAGAAAGAAAAATTTGAATTTTTCAGTAAGGAGCAAGGGATAGACCATAACTTTTTAGCTCTTAGGACCCCTCAGTAGAACGGAGTAGCTAAAAAGATAAATATGACCCTAGTAGAAGCCGCTAGAGTCATGTTAGCTGAATACTCACTTCCAAAATACTTTTGGGAAGAAGCGGTGAATACATCCTGTTATGTTCTGAATATGGTGAATGTTAGATCCAAACTAAACAAGACATCCTTTGAAATTCTGAAGGATAGGACACTAACCTTTTTCACCTCCATGTCTTTAAATGTAAAGTGTCGTTCTGAATAATGGGAAGTCTCAACTAGAAAAGTTTGACCCAAAATCTAATGAAGAAGTGTTCCTAGGTTACTCAAGTGTTGAGAAATTTTATAGTCTTCAATAAAAGAACACTAGTAGTTGAGGAGATCTCTCATATTGTGTTTGATGGCTCTGATACCACTTGAAAGTTCATGAGGGGTATTAAACCCTAAAGAACTAGCCCGAGGCTAACCAAGAAGGGGGTGAATTGGTAGTTTTAAAAATTCTTAAACAAAAA